CCCCGATCTTAATCCGCTGGATTACTCATTACTCAATATGGCGTGTCATGAAGGCCAAGGCCTGTTCTAAACGCCAACCGAGTACAGCAAGCCTCAGACAAACATTTACCCGTACCTGTAGAGAAATGAATCCAGACTACATTATTAGAACCTGCGGTGCATTCCGGAAGCGTGTGGAGGCCGTATAATACATTATTAGTTTAAGACTCTGAAAAACATCCCCCTTTGAATAATTAAAAAAAAAACCCGGAAACGAAATTTTTGAGATTTTATTAAATTTTGACATTGCCTACTGGTGCAAACATTATCACGCATACGGTATAACGTGGGATGTTTTCTGCATCACTTATAATACATTTATACAACAAGCTGATCTATTTTTTTTTCAAAAAGATGTTTTATGTGTTTCTTGGGAAAGGCGCGCGCAAAATACAACATGTGCCTACTAAAAAATCAAATTTCCAAACGGCTGTTTGTGAGAGAGAGAGAAATATGTACATGTGCTACACGATCCTTATTTTCTACTGGTATTGTCGCGCTTATGTTAAATTCTCATTTGGTGACGGCCAAAGCACGCCGCTCATAAGCGAGAAACAACTCCGCCCATAAGGATTATATACAGGTGTGTAACTTTGATAGTATTTTATGGATTAAGAGCCGCCGTGTGTTAAATCAATGGGCGCAGTTGTACGGCCATAAACAGGTAACAGATGGTATAATCATTTTTTGAGAAATTATCCTGCCACACACAATATTATCCAATTTATTTATGTAGGGTAGAGCGCTACTTCGTCGTAATCGCCCATTTCCGTTCTATCGATCATAAAAGATCAATAATATCAATGATTTCACCGTGCAAAAATCAATAATAGGTTTGTTCTGATGCGTTAGTTCATTAGCTACAACATAAATTCTGTTAGAGCGCATTTTATGAATATTTACGGTAATTGTTCTCAAAACAAAAGAAGCGCTCCTAGCGAATCCCCCTTTTCTACGTTTATCCGTAGGATGAAGAAAATCTAATGGCGTTTCAATGCGTATGGACGGAAATGAAAATCGTAGAACGAATTAAGAATCAAGAAGCAGTATTAGATTTTAAACAATATCTCAACAATTTTTGGCTCTTTATCAAATCCAACGGTACGTATGGAAAGGTGAATAAATTAAGAAATCATCTTTAACAGAAATATTCCATTTTTTGTTTTGCTTAGTTGGACGGAAATTAGATCGAAAACCCTACCCCTCTTTTTGCTGATGTTATTCCTCCAGCATATGTGCTCTCACCTTTCCTCCCATCATTCTCTGGGGGAGTGGAAGATCCGCACAAAAGCAAATAACCAAAAAGCAAAATGCAGCTCTCCAGCGTGTATTTCTAAAATAATAAAAACAAATTCAAGTGTGTGTATGTGTAAGCTAATTGAAGGATACTCTGTGAATATTTCAGCCTATTTGATGGAGGTTTTCTGATATATCTGGATATTTTTAAAGATAAATGGAACTATTTTAGAAATCACCCACCTTTGCCATTGCTAAATGAAATATTTTTCAAATCAAAAGGTTCCTCAATTTTCACATGTTGTTTCAAAAGTATTTCATGGTACTCTGTGCAAATTTCTGCCCTTTTGATGAAGGTATTCTGATATATCTTGGTATTTTTAAAGATAATTAGATAATTTCATGAACTTCGGCATGACTTCCCTGAATCTCGGCAGAACTTCGGCAGGACTTCGCTGAACTTCAGCAGGAGTTCCCTGAACTTTGACAGGCCTTCCCTGAACTACGGCAGGACTTCCTTGAGGTTCGGCAGGCTTTCCCTGAACTTCGGCGTGAGTTCCCTGAATTTCATCAAGACTTCCCTGATTTCCAAGAATTGAAATGAAAGGACAGCCCTTTTCTGAACTTCAGCAGAACTTTTCTGAACTTCGGCAGGACTTCTCTGAACTTCAGCAGGGTTTCCCAGAACTTCGGTAGAACTTCTCTGAACTTCGGTAGAACTTCTCTGAACTTCGGCAGGAGTTCTCTGAACATTGGTAGGACTTCCCTAAAGTTTGGAAAAACTTCCCTGAACATCGGCAGAACTTCACTGAACTTCAACAGAACTTCTCTGAATTACCGCAGAACTTCCCTGAACTTCAGCAAGACTTCCCTGAACTTCGGCAAGGCTTCCCTGAACTTCGGAAGGACTTTCCTGAACTTCGGCAGGACTTTCGGCAGGGCTTCCCTGAACTTCATCAGGACTTTGCTAAAGTTTGGCAGGCCATCCCTCAACTACGGCAAGACATCTCTGAGCATTAGTAGGACTACCTTGAACTTGGAATCTTGGAATTGAAGTTGTCATTTCAGTAGTAGAATTATTATAATTATACAATAATATTGTGTTTACGAATATGTTCAAAATTTCAATACTTCCCATTTTTCTAATTTGCAATGCTTGTTGGTATTGGTGCATTTCGAATTTGGGTGTGATTTGAACAGGTGTGGACTCAGTATCAACAGAAAAGCATTAACTTTCACCTTACCAGCTCAGTTCCGGATCCGAATCATCGACTCGAATGATTCACTGGGAGCTCTTTAGGATGACAACTTTCGACCCGTCCAGCTCTCGGACCCCACCAGCTCTTCGGGTCTTTTTCTTTTTTCTCGATTCTTCACGATTCAACTCCGGATTTGGATCTGAGTTGATGATCTGGAGCTGATGTAGAGAATAGTTAGAGAAATTCTGCTGGAGAATTAATATCAAAAATAAAATTTTAATGTAGACTGGATTGCATAGATTGAGAAAAGGCGTATCAGCGTGTGCCAAGAAGTCAATCATATCATCACGTGTGACAAAGGTGTAGTTCTATCGCATACATTTTTTGTTGGCACATTTTGCGCGCATTTTGGTTTACACACTTTAACAGAGACTCGGCGTTCGGTAAAAAAAATACCGTTTTAGATCGGTAATCCTAAAAATTGCAGATGTTTCGGTATTTTCTCGCTCTATTGCTGTAAACTGTAAATAAAATTACCGAATTTCGTTAATTCGACTCCAAAATTACAGTTCTCCGGTAAAATAAATTACAAATAAAGCTTGTTTTTTTCGGTAAACGTTACCGATCGTTCGGTTAAATCGATAGCTAATTTTGCTGATTCAGTTTACAGATTTTTCGGTAATGTTCTCGATTACCGAAAACATTACCGACCGTTTAGCTGTTGCGGATTCCGTAAATGAATTTTTTCTAAGTGTGTACGCGATGGTTGATCAGTTGTTGCGTTAGTAGCGTTTTCCATTGAAAAGTAAAGCCATGTTATAAGGTACGGATTTATTGGTTTAGACTACTTCTACGATTTTATGCAGTTTTAAGCACAAAAACCACTAATTAATTTCCCGATTTTGAATTTGTGTCATAATTTTTAAAATTTCAATGTGAGCTGAAGAACTGTTCAAAAGAATCGACTCCCTTTAGTGAGCTGGATGGGTTTTATCCACTCAGCCAGATGAGCTGTTTTGCCCACCTCTAATTTTGACCATTACTCAATTTCGGCCTTTGTATATTTGACCTTTCAATTGCAATGAAAGAAAAATGAAGACTTCTTTGGATGTGACTGAGAGCAAAAATCCAATAATGTTTGAAAAGTTCAGCCGAAGGAAAACAATATTTGAGATTAACATTCGATAATCGTAAACTGAAATCAATTTGTGATGTCAATTCAATGTTAAACGCATAATTTGTTTATTTTGCTTTCAATTTGATGCTCGACTTTGCTCAGGTCCTCCTACCGCCCGAATTGGCTAGACCCGTTTTGAAGCTAGTAGTTGACTTGAAATTTGTGAAGAGGAATACTTTTATAAACGTTTTACTCCAACAGATATGTTAGATTTTCATTATGACATTGATAATATATTTCCGGTCAATTTATGAAACTACTTTTTTAAGTTTGCATGAAATGCTGCCTGTGTATAAGATAATTTAGTAGCAAAAAGCAACAATACCAACTACAATTGCTACAAATAATATCGGAAGAGTAAATTATCCCATGAAAATTATCCCATGAAAATGATCCAAAGTTGTCTCCTGTTTTTATCTCTGCTGCATACTACACATTATTTACGCTATCAAATAAGTCGAGAGATTCATATCAACAAGGTACATCCAATTAGAAGACTATGTCATTGTGATTTGTTTATTTTCGCTCTGATATGGGCAACAATTCATTGATACTAAATTAACTTGATGTCCCTTGATTAGATCCTATCGCAAGCAGATCCCTCGCGAAACCTTTCCTTATGACACGTAAATACTCCCGGTCCATCAACCGAACTTATCATTTTGTGCCACGATGGATAATAAAAGGTAATATTTTTAACTCATAATTTCCTTTCCACTTTGTTCTATTGCCAGATACCGACACCAGATCACCTGAAACGAGCCGGCATCAGCGGCATCTCGGCAGCTAACCCTCAACGACCCATGCCATAACCTTCCGAAATCGTGTCGCAAGAAAGTGAACTCCCAGCGCAGCGTCGTTAGAAACATGCAAATATGCAAATGATTCAAATCGAAGAAGCGAGCCGAAAGTGAATCCAAGTGCATTCGGAGGAAATTATACCCGTGTATGATTTCATTTCAGTTTCGTGTTTCTTTTTCGGGTGGTGAACGGACTGCGAGTGCTGAGTGGGGGCTCAAACAATGGGAATTGCCTTTGGTGCCGCGGTTTTGCTTGAACTTCCAGCCGATGGATTAATATTATCTAAATGTCTCGGGGTTATGTAAATTAGATGCTAAAGAAAAAAAAAGCCCGCGGGAAGTAACCATCATTGCATTTTTGCCGAATATTGTGTCTTTGAGATGAAGTGAAATGGAATTTTGCACCGGTTGGCAACACGCGATGATTACACAGTGGAGGACGAGAAGTGCTATCATACCAAGCACCATTTGAATCGTCGAATAACTCGAATTAACAGCACGTAGAAAAATAAGTCATCAAACAACAAGTCAATTGACTGGTGGATTGATCCTCTCGGAGTAGCGGAGTAGTGTGATCTGTCGAAGTGCTTGGGCCCAAGCAGACCTTCTACTTCGAGGGAAGGAAACACGGCCGACAAACATGCAAAATGAATACAACATGTGCATGACCATTCTGCTGCTGATCGTAGGATTTGTCCGAGCTGAGCACTTGTTATTCTCAGGTGAGTTAACCTTATTGATGTAATTGATTGTTTGTTGCAAAACTTTGGCTAAGAATTTAGTACAATTTATTCACATAGACCATTTCAATGGTTATGCTATATAACGATGTACGATGTACCGTAAGTCTCCCTTCACCGCTCACTGTGTAATTATTTTTATGTTTTTTTTTCTCTTTAATTGCATATTAACAGTAAATGATGATTAATATTACTGTTGGTATTGAGCCAACAATCACTGAAAAAAAAAAAATTGATTTATTAAACGAATGCATTCGTTGCTATCTGTAATGAAATAGATTCGTAATATCTATGAAGCAGGTTTCCCAAAATCTACTTCGTAACATTCTTATATTTTACGAAGCTCTGCCATACGCGCTACGAATGTTTCATAAAGTTATTCGTGAGAAAAAATCGATCGATTGAAAATAATACGAAACATTCGTATACTCATAAAACAACGTGTTTATATTGTACGAAAAACAATGCGAAGAGACAAGAGATACATTCTTCATTTTTGGAATTCAAAATGTGTTTTTATTGTAAACTACATTCTTATGCACTGATATCTGGAAACAGCAGCGTAAATCAAACCCCATATCGAGCGCACCGATAAACAAGACCCACTTTGGTCGAGACACCTTGAAGCCCTAGAAGAAAGTCGACCGGAGGCTCCTCGGCCGCAGACACGTCCCAGAATCTTAGAAAGTATCCCGAACCGCTAGGACCGTAAACTACTCGTTCCGGCTGTAGTTCTTGAACACTTGGATGGCAACATAGTAGTAGTAGACCGCATCTGTCATGTTGATCTCCAGCAAGTAAAACAAACCGTAGTCAGCGTCGCGGCCGATATCGTCAGCTCGTATACGACAAGATTCTCAGGTTGATGAATGTCTGCTCCTCCATGTTACGTATTCCCTTGAATGATTGGTAGCAGTTGCAGAGGATCATGGGCACATGGACAATGGGAATCGGTTCAATAATATCCAACACCACACCGCCACAGTTCACTCGGTCCGTGGCTGCTTGTCTCCAATTTCTTGACCGTCCCACACTTCCAAGATGCTGCTCCACTTGGTCTAACCACCTTGCTCGCTGTGCTCCTCTTCGTCTTGTACCGGCCGGATTCGAGGCAAACACCATTTTTGCGGCATTGTTGTCCGGCATTCTTAAAACGTGTCCCGCCTATCGTACCTGTCCAACTTTCGCACCTTTCTGGATACAGGGTACGCCAAAGAGTTTCGCCAGCTCGTGGTTCATCCTTCGCCTCCACACACCGGTCTCACATACCCCACCAAAGATGGTCCTAAGCACTCGTCGTTCGAAAACACCCAGTGCTTGCAGATGCTCCTCGAGCATCGTCTACGTCTCGTGCCCGTAGAGGTCTACCGGTATTATCAGCGTCTTGTACATGGTACATTTAGTACGGAGGTGAAGTTTACCCGACCTCAGGTTCTTGTGGAGTCAGTACCCGAATAAAAAATACTATTAAAAAACAATAAATCTAATTGTTACAATACAAAAGGAAACCATAAAAGCACAATAAAAAACTATGTCACTTTTACAATAAAATCACAATACAAAATATTGTTTTGAACCATACAATTTATTGTAAATGGGACTTTTACAATAACAAAGTAGGGTTGTTAGTTACCGTAACAGTTAAAAAAAAAATTTTTTTTCATACATTTTGGAAAGCAAAACAATAACTTTTATTGTTTCGTTATTGTACCAGTTTTTTAAAATGAACAATAAAACTGATGGTTAAATAATTGTTTTTCAATGCAAAGCCTTATTGTTAGTCTTTTATAAAACAATACAAATGAATGTTGTGAAATCGTAATAAAAGTCAAGAAAAATTTGATACTGTTTGCGATACTAATTTTATTTGTTCTGATGTTTTGATCTCAAATTTTATAACAGGTGTAATTAAACTTAATACAACTTATTTGTTCCAACCAAAGCTGTAGGTTAGGTATAACAAAAATCGTCCATTAATAAAATAAAAATAACAGCATCTCTGCAAAGGTAAAATCAAGAAAGATTTCAAATCAAGCGACACTATTATTGATGAGCCTTTCGGAATTTTTTGCAGCCTTTCTTAAATTAGCAATTTTTTCTGCAATTGCTTTGTTCACAACGCTTTCATGGGACAAAGTTTTGATTTGCCCTAAATTATTCGATCCAACCTCCAGGGCCACCCGTTCTCGTGCTTTAGCTGAAAACAAGAAATTTCAGATGGGTAAGAATATATAATATAAAAAAAACTCACCGTAGATGAACTCCAACTTTTTTGGTGAAATGCCGGGACGAATAGGGTTGTCATTTGGAACATTTTTCATTCGATTTGATGAACGACCCTTCACTGATCTCTCTCGAAGGTTTTGAGCTCCATACAAATGAAGGGCCAGATTCTGTGCAAATGAGGCAACAGATTTCGAAATTCCGTTAATGTTCTCGATTTGCGCCACGGGCATATTAATATCCGGATCAGGTTGAAATGTCTACAAAGAAAACAAATCGTAGTTGATAACAATCAGAAACCAACATATAATTACAAATCATAAAACCAAAATACTTACAGTGTTCACATTTTCACCCATTCTCGCCTTTTTAGCCTCAGCCACCGCATGTACCACAAGATCCTTCATTTCGGCCAGCTGTAACTTGAAATTTACATTTTTCTTTCGTGATGCTTTCAACATTTCCGCTTGCTTCTGATGTTTGGCCAAAAGTTTGGCATATTTTTCATCCTTGCTTCCATCGTCTGTATCGGAATCGTCTGTTGAATCATTCATCGGCTGTAGTGGTGACTGTGGTGGTGACGCAGTTCGCGAAGGCGATGGCAGAGATTCGGGTTGAATATTGGGTACCAACGAAGACCTTGCTGGAGATATTGACAACGCTTTGAAAGCTTTCGAAGAAGAAGCAGCTGCAACAGGAGTAGCTGGCGGTGGATGACACGATGATGTCGGTAGGAGTGGTGTCGATAACTGGTATGTTGGTGCTGGCGATGCAGAATGAGCAGCTGGTGGAGACTGGTTGGTTGATGCTTGCGATGATGCCGGTGGGAGTGACGTCGATGTGCTTGCCAATGCACCGGGATACAGAGTTTGAGACACTGGAATGCAGACTTCGGGATAACGGAATGTAGACTTCGGTGCTGACAACTGGGCACATGGTGATGCTGGTGGATGAAAAATCAGTGGTTTTACCACTGAAGGAAGAGTTTCCGAAATCTCTTCGTAGTCCTTTTGACTCAAATTAAGCGGATCATGTTCGTCATCACCAACTTGTCCAAAACTTTTGGAGCTTTTAGCTTGATTCACTGCCGCTAGGCCACTGCTGCTGTCTTGGGTGCGATTTTTTGTCTTAACTGCATTTAGCTAAATAAATAAAAACATAAGTGTCAAAAATTGTAAATAAACAAGTATTTGCAAATACCTACAGCTGCCTGCAGAAAAGTAAGGTTAGAAGCCCTCGCTCGGGCCCTCTCACTGGCACCGGCAAGGTTACGTTGCACTGATGATCTGGTTGATCGAGCTGGTTCTTCTAAAGTTAAAAGTAAATGATAACAAAACGATGCACTTACTATATTCGGAGTTGTCTTACCATTTTTCGTTATTTCTCCGCACTGTGCCTTCTTTTTTGGGGGCATTTTAATTTGGGCTTCAAGCTCACGCACAAAACCGACGAGTTTCTTTTACAAATGGCGGATAGCTGCAAATCTCCAACAGCAACGGCTGCATAGGATACATTTTGAAAAGGTCCGATATTACGTCGTCACTCGAACATATATTTTTTTTTTTCATATTTACCCAAGACGTGTGGACACCATTGGAATTTACGCATTTTTTCACTATTCCTATGCTTTGTTTTAACGGATTTTGGAAATTTCGCAGATTTATATGCGGTTTTGTAGATGCACACGTTTTTTTACTAATGAAGTTTTTTTTTACGCGGCGCGTTCCCTCGCGTAAAAACCGGCTCCAGTGTATGCCAAATTTATAATTAGAATTTAGATTGAGGATTCACACATTGCAAAACCACCATTCACCGTATTAAAATGGATGAATTATTTGGATTTGATATTAATGGATGTCAATAAGACTTATTCAAAAGTTACTCTATTGAGTTTTTTGACGTTTGATCGGCGCACACTACTGCACCAATGTCATGGATAACAGGTCCGGCAATGAAAATTTGCCATGTCTTTCATTCTTGCGCTGCTCTTATGCAACGATGAGTGTGACGTCAAACTCTTCGTTGCATATTATCAGCAGGAGAAAGAAAGAAGTGACAAACTCACATTGTGGGACCTGTTCTTCGTGACATTGCTACTGCACAATCAAGTCAATCGTTTACTGACATTTTCTGTTGAGATCATAGTAATCTTTAATTTAATAGTATGCGAAATTCGAGGCTAAATGGTTTATACTACAAAAACCAATCCACACCATATGCTCGTCGGTGTCGTAAGGTAAGTAGTAATATATAAATTATCCAATACGCATTCTAATTCAGTACTTTTTTGAAGAAACCAATCGACCGGCACCAGGAAAACCATCCAAGACGTCGACCAGAAATTTGTATCTCTGGCACTAATGATGCTCTGCCAGTTAATGTAGCAGCACAATCAGCTAACATCTATAAGCAGCAGGTAGCTTAATGGAACATTAAATTAGAACAGAAGAAATATTTAATAAAAAAACATATAAACAACATTTTAGATTCCCGTTCGAATCGTACCAGAATTTCATCCCGATGAAAACGGTTCAAGCCTGGATTCAAATGTTGATATACCAAGCGATACAGATTTGGATAGCCTTGCTGAAGTGGAAGCTATGCCAAAATCACAACCTTTTTCATGTGTTTTGGAATCGGACCAGAATGCTGGCCTATTGGAACCAGATGCATATTCAGACCTCAGTGAAACGTCGTCAATATCGGATTTTAATTCTGATACGTTTGAATATTCCGACCATGAAGCGGTTAGTTATTTTTACTCTTTGATGTGTTTAAATTTAAACTTTATTCATGAGTATTGAAAGAGCAAATTAACACCCTTCGAAGATTTGTAATGTTGTGTTATTATTGTCTCATTTATAGGACGAACCTAGGGCCGAACATATCAACCCAGCCGAACTATTGCACCAGAATTTAACGATTACAAAGAGCGAGATTATGTTAATGCTTCTGCACATTTTCATGCGACATAATCTAACCAATGTGGCACTTGAGGATTTGCTGCACATGATCAATGTAATTGTAGGCTACACTTCGCTACCGAGGACTTTTTATTCCTTCTCCAAATATTTTGCGGCTAACGACTTCACTCGTCACTACATATGCAAATCATGTGGACTGTATCTTGGAGAAGCCCATACAGAATCGTGTGAAATTTGCAGTAGTGTTCATAAGGAATATTTCGTATCATTCGACATCCTATCGGCTCTGAAAAAAGTTTTACAAAGAAACTGGAGCTATATAACTGATTACGTTCAGACAACCTCAGGTCGTTTCATTGATGATATTAGGCAAGGCCGAGTCGTACAAAATTTGATGCAAGGGAACCGGATTTCAATATCTTTCAATACCGATGGTGTAGCAGTTTTTAATTCGAATATTAAGAAATCTCTATGGCCCATTATCATTACGATTAATGATTTACCGCCTTCTCTACGGTTTTTACGTAGAAATACCATAATTTCAGGATTGTGGCTCAGTAGTGGTGACCCTGATTTGGAAATTTTTATGAAACCATTCTTGACCCAGTTGCAGGAGTTAGCTTCCAAAGGATTAGAGATTTTTGAAGGGCTGGTGTATAAAGTATTTACTGTTGCGTGTTGCGTGGACAGTGTTGCACGTTGCAAATTGCAACAAATTAAACAGTTTAATGGCTACGAAGCCTGCAGCTTTTGTAAGCATCCAGGTACTTTAACAGAAACTAAACAGATTCGATATAGTTTCATGCAGACTATTCAATTACGAAACTATCAAGAGACCATAAATGCCATGGACCTCTGCTCTAAATATGGTGCACCTGTTGGCGGTATAAAAGGAATTTCTTGCTTGATCGCAATCCCGCATTTCGATGTAATATTTTATTGTCCTGTAGATTACATGCACGCAGTCCTTCTAGGTGTTTGTAAACAACTGTGCAACTTGTGGTTAGGTGGATTTGGCCACGAATGGTACATAAAAAAACATATGGATGACATTGATCACATCCTCACCTCGATAAACTCCTTCAATGAAATGTCTCGTAAACCACGCAAGATGTCTGACAGGAAAACATGGAAAGCAAATGAGTGGCAAAATTGGCTGCTACTGTATAGCTCAGTTTGTTTGAAAAAATATTTACCACAAAAATATTACGATCATTACCTACTATTAACTGTGAGCATGCAAACATTATTATCAAAAACTATAACGGAGGATGATATTAAAAATTGTGAAACTCAGTTGAATTTATTCGTTCAACAATTTGAAACATTGTACGGTGTAGGAGAAATGAAATACAATGTTCACTTGTTACTACACATACCCTTATGTGTACGTAACTATGGTCCTATGTGGACATTTTCTTTGTTTAATTTCGAGGATATAAACGGAGTTTTGAAAAAATATGTTAAAGGCCCAAAGGAGCCTATTTTGCAAATAGCAACGCGTTGCACATTAGCACATATTAAAGAAAATACTGATTATATCTCAATTCACCATGATGAAGTAAAAAATTTCTGCCAAAATCTCAACAAATCTGGTAGAAGGGAAGCCAAATGTTTGACTAATAAATTCACTATCCCTCCCAATGTAGAAAATATATACAATCATCAATATTTTGAGGAAAGAGATTATTTCATTAAAAATAGATATTTGTTCAAACGAAGTAAAATAACTCCCAACAAAACTAAAAAAATTACAAAATCAGATGACTCCACGTTTACTATGTATTCTAATGGAAATCATATCTATGGAATTATTGTGCATATTTTATTCTCGGAACCGACTTATTATTTATTGTACAAACCATTAGCGATCTACAATGAAAGTGAAGTATTGTTAACGGGAAAAGAACAGAGAGAATTACAACTAGTGCAAACAAACAGCTCATTGAAAAAATGTGTGAGAATTTTTGCTTTCGATAAAATGTACATTCGCCCAGTTGAATTTGTGCCGTGGGTAGATTAAGGAAATATTTGTATCAGGTGTAACTCAACTAAAAAAATGAATAAATTGGTATTGTTAATCTGTTTTTTTTTTTATTTAATTCCGTTGGAAATGGTAAGAATCATATTTTTCATCATCTGTATTACAATGTACAATTCTGCAACAAGTTTACGAGCAGCATCACTATAGTATACACAAGCATCAACTGTAACAAATATTCAACACCCTACTTAGAATAAGTTTGCAATTTTCTTCATATATCCCTTCATAGCTCAGCCAAGCATTAATCTTACAGAACGTTCGCCTTTTTTCACAAAATTCATAAAATATTAATAAACATAAAAAAAACAATAAAATATATTGTAACAATAAGAAATTTCGTAAATCTATGGTATGTACCATAAAAAGATTATTTGTGGAAGAAATCAAACATTACAAAAACAATATTTTAAATTGTTTCCAATACAATTTAATGTATTCATACAATTTATACTAATGAACTTATGGTTTTTTTTTATTCGGGTAGTAAGCACGACTTCCGGCAATAATACGCCGACGAATTTCTCTGCTACAGTTGTTATTCGACGTCACCAATGATCCGAGGTACACAAATTCATCCACCACCTCGAACTCATCTCCATCGATTGTCACGCTTCTGTCTATGCGAGCCGTATCCCGCTCGGTTCCTCCAGCTAACAGATACTTTGTCTTCGACGTATTCACTTTTAATCCAACCTTCTCTGCTTCACGTTTCAGCCTGGTGTACTGCTCCGCCACGGCCTGAAACGTTCTTCCGACAATGTCCAAGTCGTCAGCGAAACAGATGAACTTGCTGGACTTATTGAAGATCGTGCCCCGCATGTTAAAGCCCGCACGTTTCATAACACCTTCTAGCGCAATGTTGAACAGGAGGCAGAAATGACCATTGCCTTGTTGAAGTCCTTTGTGATTTTCAAACGAGTCCGATAAGGCACCCGATATCTTCACGCAGCACTGTACACCATCCATCGTAGCCCTGATCAGTCTGGTCAACTTCCCGATCAGTCCAAAAAACCGGCTTGATAAGTTCCCACAAATCTGCTTGCTAGCGGCGATAAACGGAGAAAGATGATCTGGGAAAGCACTTTGTAGGCCGCGTTAAGAATAGTGATCGCTCGATAGTTCTCACAGTCTAGTTTGGCGTCTTTTTTATATACTGGGCATATTACTCCCTCTTTTCACTCCTCCGGTAGCTGTTCTGTATCCCAGATCCTGACTATCAGTCGGTGCAGACAAGTGGCCATCTTATCCGGGGCCGTTTTGATAAGTTCCGCTCCGATATCATCTTTCCCAGCTGCTTTGTTGTTCTTAAGCTGTCGGTTAGCATCCTTAACTTCACCTATCATGGGAGCTGGCATGTCCCCCTCATCCGCTGTACCGACGAAGCCATTCCTCATGCCGCCTTGGTCCTCCGCCTTTGCGCCGTTCTGATGTTCATCGTAGTGCTGCTTCCACCTTTCAATCACCTAACGTTCGTCCGTTAAGATACCCCCTTCCTTATCCCGACACATTTCGGCTCGCGGCACAAAGCATTAGTGGGATGCGTTGAGTTTCTTGTAGAACTGGCGTGTTTCTTGCGACCCATACAGCTGCTCCTTTTCTTCGCACTCCAGCTCTTCCAGGCGGCGCTTCTTATCCCGGAAAAAGATGGGTCTGCTGTCTTCGCTTCTGTTTATATCGCTCCACATTATGACGGGTTCCTTGCTGCAGCATCGCCGCCCGTGTTGCGTTCTTGACGTCCAAAACCGTCTGACACTCTTCGTCGAACCAATCGTTCCGTCGATTCCGCTCAATGAATCCAGGCGCCTTCAGCAGCGCTGTTAATGGCTGCTTTTACGTTGCTCCAGCAGTCCTCAAGAGGGGCTTCGATGAGTGCTCCCTCATCCGGCAACGCTGCGTCGAGGCATTGCACGTACTCAGTTGCGGATTCGAGCAGCTTCAGTCGCTCCAGATTGAACCGTGGCGGGCGTCGGTTCCGAATGTTGTTGGCAACGGAAAGTTTTTGGCGCACCTTGACCATTAGAAGGTAGTGGTCCGAATCGATATTTGCGCCGCTATAGGTCCTGACGTCGATAATGTCCGAGAAGTGGCTTCCGTCGATCAAAACGTGGTCGATTTGCGATTATGTCTGCTGCGGTGATCTCCAGGTGTACGGGTATGGGAGGCTATGCTGGAAATAGGTACTACGTATGGTTATGTTCTTAGAGGCGGCTTAATCGATGAGTCTAGCTGGTGAGCGCTGAACTTTCCTATAACCGGTCTGAATTTCTCCTCCTGGCCGACCTGAGCGTTAAGATCTCCGATGACGATTTTGACGTCATGGCTTGGGCAGCTGTCGTATTCCCGTTCCAGCTGCGCGTAAAAAGCGTCTTTATCGTCATCGTCACTTGCTAAGTGAGGGCTGTGCTTGTTGATTATGCTGACATTGAAGAAACGGCCTTAACTTGCACATTCAGCTATCGATTGGCCACCACCCAATCACGCGCTTCTGCATTTCGCCCATCACAATAAAAGCTGTACACAGCTCATGTGTATTGCAGCAGCTCTGGTAGATGGTATAACCACCGGTTGGAAACTAATGATTTTAAATTGGCTCATTACTTGACTAGCCTATTGGTCCCAAGCAAATCGATTAACGTACCCCATTCTAGTCGAAATTCTAGTACTACACTATGTTTGTTTTGATTCGCTAGGAAAGTTTGACAGATAAAATGAGGGGTTCGTGGATATTCCTATGATTCGAGGGTTGCATCGATTAGCTTGGGACCGGAGATAGTACCAGAGCTGAGCCAAAAAGTTGAGCTAGTTTCTTCGGGACCTTCTTGTCTTACAGTTACCTCTATGGTATAACTATTCCTATACGTATGTACCGACGATCCCTTCCAGCAAACCTCCTGCAGCGCTACGATGTCGAACTTGCGGACTTTCAATAAATCGGAAAGAATGCGGGTACTTCCCAAGAAATTGAGAGACTTGCAGTTCCATGTTCCGAGTTTCCAATCGTTAGTCCGTTTCCGTTGCTTGGGTCTATGCCTATTGTTCCGGTCCGGTCCGGTTTACATTGCTTGTTTTCTGTACTTTTGTTTTTTTACGGCTGGCTTGTAGGGCCTGCACCAACCCCTATTGTCTCGCCGGGGGACTTTCGTGCAAAGCACTGTTTAGAGTCCCACGATGGCACCAGGACGTTGATCAGCCGCTCCTAACATAGAGAACACACGCCGTTTTGAGCCGCACCTCCATGGTAAACAGACGCTCGAAGACTGCACTCTCCGGAGAGAGGAGTCCCCCCCTCCATGTCAACATTCAACCAAGGTCCCACCGGGGTTGGTTACCCGATCTTCCCTATGGTTACTCGTACCCCAGCCGGCACCGCGGGGAGGTAGGAATAGGAGTTACTGAACAAGAGGATAAGGACTGCTAGTGGGGTCTATTTTATACGTGCAGATACGCGAAGTATCAATGGTACGCATTGTCCAGCCGTTTACCAGCCTAAAGGTTGCTGCTGTATTTGAAAATTTTTTGTATGTCGTGAGACTACTAGTACACTACCAGTGTTACACCGAAGCTCATTCGATTGCTATCACGTTCGTGCTGTCCATTGCAAAAATTTCATCCGATATTTTTTTAAAACGCGCGGTCTTGAGCAGATCAGACATTCCGACATTACGGCGAAAAAATAAGCCTACTCGAAACCAACCTGACTTCTACCAAACCCCAACCCGATGCCTGACATTTTCCCGACATAAACACAGCATTAACCCGTCATCGTCTCGACATATCAGACATGTCTGTTCGAGTTCATTTTTCTGGGTTTCTTCCATAGTCCACTGCCGTATATCAATTTTATATAATGGCTCGTGACAGCCTTTTCGTGACAGCCACTTGGGTAAGCTGAGAGATGTCGTCGATTTGTGAAGGCTGTCATGAAGACAGAGACATTGAAAACCTGGTCTTAAAGAAATGTATAGAGGAAACGCTCCTATAGTTGCGGTATGTTAGAAGCGTTAGGTTCCTATAGTTGTGCATGGAGACTCAATACACAACTATAGGAATCAAACGTTTCTAACGTACCACAACTATAGGAGCGTCATCCATCGTATAAAAATTACCACTTTAGTCTGTTATTTGAAATTAACATCTTCAACTATGTAAATCGTTGACTTCACGCAGATGGTATACTAAACATATAGTCAAAGTACATAGCTCTGGAGGGGAGCATACTATCAATAACTGCCATTGGTCGAAAGGTACAGTAGCAGCACCTACTTTACCAGTGTCCCTCGAGATCGTCAAGTCAACGATGATAGGAACACACAGATAACAACTTGAGTGCGGTAAAAATCGATAGAACTGTTTCAAACACATCGTCGGTACATGAGCGAGTCGTCGATCATCTCTTTTTGCCAGTGGTGGCGGGGGGAATACCCCTCACCATCCCCCTCCAACGGGGGAGTTTGGTAAAGAGAGATGGTCAAACCGATTTATACCTTCCTAAAGTTGTCCTTGCTTGCTGCAATTTTCACACTGCCGTACTCTAACGGAACTATCAATTCTATACTTTCATTTCCTCATCTATCGTAAAAAAATTACCACTTTAATCTGTTATTTGAAATTAGCATCTTCAACTTTGTAAATCGTTGATTTCACGCAGAAGTAATACTTAACATATAGTCAAAGTAATTTTATTTATTTTTTGCTCCGGTGGTGGTTCATCTTCTTCAATGCAAACTGCTTTCAGACAGCAAGGAAATTGACAATTTAATCACATCGATGATGTCGATGATGAATCGCCCCAAAGTACCGCCAGTCAGGGTGACAGAAAATGATGCCGAAAATTCAACATGTTTAAAAATGATATAAAGGACATACCCGAATTTATTGCAACGCACATAAGCAGCTTGAGCACATGACTTGAAATTTTCAAAAAGATTCTTATACGATTTTTTAGTAAGACAACAATAACCGAGGTTCAATGGCAAACTAATACCCATTTTTCAATTAGAGAATAATAAGCTGTCTTTAAACTTTGTACAGTTGCAAAAAAGTCCATCCTCAGAATTCCTTGAGGTTCTTTTCGAATTTTTTAGAACTCTATGAGCTCTTTTGAAATTCTTCTCAGAAGTCCTCTGGAATTATTTTTAGAACTCTTCTTGACTTTTACTCAGAACAGCCTTCCCTTAGAGTTTCAGAAGAATTTCCTCAACAAAATATTTCCGGAATGAACCAGAAATTATCGGTACTCCCTTGAAATTTTCCTCAAAATCCCTTTGGAATTTCACTCAAATTCAATTTTCTCGGTATTCTTTTCGGAGTTATTTTGGAACCATCTGCAAATATTCACTAGAAATTATACGCAGAATTTTCTTGGAACACTCCCCAGAAATCATTTGGAACTGTCCTCAGAATTAAACATCCTTGAGGTTCTTCTCGGATTTTTTTTCAGAACTCTCCTTAGAGCGCTTTTGAAATTTTTCTCGGATGTCCACTGGAATTATATTTTGAACTATTTGTTATTTTTTCTCAAAACACATTGGAGCTGAATGAGCTTGGAATTCGCTTGAAATTTTGTTTAAAATCCCTTTGGAATTTGAAATTATCTTGGAACTATCTGCAAGATACACTAAAAATTATTCGCAGCATTTTCATGGAATCATCCTCAGAATTCAATACCGTGAGGTTTTTCTCGGATGCATAGATGCCAGATTTACAGACATGTCTGTAAATTTACAGGCTTTTTTTCACAGATATTTTTTTTTCGATTCAGACATTTACAGACTTTTTAAGTTTTTAACAGATATTTGCAGAATCGCCAAATCAACCGTGTATGATGTGCTCAAACGTTTCAGAGAGCGAAAGAGCGTGGATCGAGTGCCTCAAGGTAAGCGTCGTAGTGGAACATATGACCGCAAGCTGAACCAGAAGGTGGTGAGAACCGTCAGAGCAAACCCTGGACTATCAGATAATGAAAT